TTGCACTATCCTAACTTTTGATGACCCTCTTAGGTGCTAGAAGTAGGAGTTCAGTCTCAGTAGCCTGTCAAGAAAGCCTCCAGATTAAGGGAGCTCAGTCCCTGGAGAACATATGTGAACGCCCTTTTCAAGAAATGCCTCTTTGCTTGCTGCCCTGTCTTGCGTTGCTGGACATCAGTCTAGCCTACAGAGTGAATACCCAGAGCAGCAGTCCCTCCCTCCTCGCAGTCGCAGAGTTCTCAGGAGGACCGTCTTACATCAGTGTAACTTGGCCAGACACAGATTAAAAATTATGGCAACCTGCTGCCACTAAACATCACCATTCTGCAGCTGAGGATCTAGCACGTTCCTCAGATTGGATATCTGAATAGTGAGTGGCAGGCAAATCTTCCTCAGCCTCACGCTATTTCTGCCTCACCATATGCTCTGGTTGCATTCCCACGCTTCCCCAGCGTGAAGTCTTTACAAGGATGGTACTAAGAAGATCTGTCAGATTAAACAGCACAAGATCAAAAAATAGTTATATTTCCGGTGTACCTTAGTTGGCTTCCTGCCATGCTACTCCTGAGTTCGTGGATGTTTTTGCTAATAGTGTGGTCTGGAAAAAAAGGAAGGCTGTGCTAGTGCTTTGGCACTGGTATGGTAAAATGGGGAGGCTTGATCACGTGCCAGTCCTCAGAGGGATCTTGCCTACTGGAAAAAAAAAAAAGTTCCCAGTGCCACCCTTCCTTCATCTCTATCTCTGCCATGGACTCAATACATCGTGGCATATTATGCATGCTCACAACATGATATATTTCTACAGCGCCCATATCACGTCTATCAAGTTAGAAGGCTGCTGGCAATTTGACAGCTGCATAGATTGTGCTCACTGAACCAAATGTCTCAAGCTTGGGACTGTTTACTAGTGCTAATTTGAACAAGTTGCTTGTTTACGTCTTTTCTGCCAGGTGACTTTATAAAAATGAAAAAGTTCCTAGAAAATAAACCAATATTTTTATAGTTAAGTCAAAAGGAGACTATTACTTTGGAAAAAAAAAAAAGTTGGGCCTTTTCCCCCTAAACAGATCAAATAAGAAAAGCAGGACAGATTTCTCTCTGTTTGCTTAGCAGAGCCACGCTGAACATACCCTCTCCAGAGGCAAGGGGAACGTGCTCTTGCTCCGACATGAGATTTACATAATTCTTGCTTTCACCAAGCGTGGGCAGGTGCTTTCTGACTCCTCACTTGCACTTCCACTTCACTTTTGGTAGGAGTTCTGGCTGCTGGCCAGCTGTCTGTGCTTCCAGGCTGTTTGGGTGAGTTGTTGCGTCTTTGCAAGTCTGGGGACAGCTTAACCTGTTGCTGATAAACTCTTGAGTTAATATTAAAGCACGCTCAGAATCACTGGCATGAAGAGTAGCTAAGGCTCTGAGAGGCACAAGCAGCTCTAAGCAGGCTATTCCCTGACTTTGTCTAATGACGTCTAAAAGCACGCAGTGGTTTTAAGCCTCCAGGCTACCCCACTTTTCACTACTCTTGCATAACAGCAGTATTTCCTGGTGCAGGGATCAGAGTCCAGCACTCACTGCTCTCGCATCGCTGCTGCAGGCTGCCAGGCTGCAGAGCGAGGCTTTCGGGAGCGATCGTTCTTGCTCTGTGGCCTAGGTCACCTGTGGTCCCAGGGTGGTAATCCGGGGGTATCACTGCGAACCTCTCATTACAAAAATAGGTATTAGTAGGTAACCTGTAAAAAAAAGATTACCGCAGAGTGTTATCCTGATTGTTTTCATAGGAACAATGACTAATTTATGGTGCCTAAACCATGCAGTTCTTACTCTGGCAAAGTGCTTGTGAAGTTTTATTGGTGTGCTTTGCATATGTATTTGCAAAGAACGCAGAAAATGTCAGCAAGGCTGAACTTACTAGTACTAGCCTCACTCTGAAGTAAGAGGGCTTAGCCGTTAGCGTTATCTGTAAGGCGCCAGCCCATGCAGTTGTCGTGCCCCCCTACCACAGCCGTCCTGATGACTTACACGGGTCACATTACACTGCCTCATTCAGGGTCTCGTTCGGTGCCCGCCCTGTAGCAGCAGCAGAGGAATTTGTCATGAGTTGGTGTATGTGAAGCAGCATGTGCCCCCAACAAATACAACTGGAGCCTTACAAAGTTTCAGGAATGTGGCAGTTCCTGGCCTGATTCCCAACAGTTATGACTCTCTGATCCCATAGGGCTGCTATGCTCTCCCCACTTCATTTTCCTGTTTTTTCAGGTTAGAATCTCCCTCTTTGGCAGGATATCCCAGAAACTGTTTCAGAAGAGAAGCAGGATAAATAATAATTAAAAAAAAAGAGATAAAAAGACACATTTCTGGTAGATTTTACAGTAAGCGCCTTATTGTGTCATCAAAGAAACCCTTTACTTTCAGGCAAACAACTTCCTCAGCAGTAAAACTAGAACTTTTTTAAACATGGAAAGCTAAGGCTACAGGCTACATCTAGATTACAGGATCATCGTTTGATATAAATACTTGATCGTAGCTGTACCTCTGAGTGCTTAAACATAATAGGTGCTGTTATAACATTAAATTTATTCTTCAGCATCAAAACAGCAGTGATATTGTTTATAGTTTTTGTGTACCTGCTTCTCTGGAGACATATATTTTTGGGAAGGTACTGCATCCCTCTCGCCGCAAGGATCCCCTTAACAGGATTAACTACATTTTTCACTTTCCTAGCAGGAAACCTGTGCAGAGGCAGTGACAGCAATTAGGTATGAAGCTGGGAGCATGATTTTATAATGAACAACACAAAGCTCAGACAACTGTGGGGTCATCAGCTCAGAGCTTCAAATATAGCAGCGTCCTGGTGTGTTACAGCAGTACTCAAATGCTGCACATACTATAGCGAGAAGATGGAGGAGAGGAAAATAAAGCATCAGAATTTAGTCAAACTAGCAACACCTGTCTGCACCCAGCCGAAGCAGCAGCTTGCCTCAGGCTGCTTGGATGTCTCTGGAGAGGGGGCTCGCTGCCTAAATGCAGGGCTAGCTCTGTGAGGGAGCTCTGCTTCCAGTCACTGTTAGGTGAGAACAGGAGTAATGCCATGGTAACTTCATGCGCTACAGGGCTTCCAGCATGGCTATATAAGACAGAGGGAGAAAGACAAGGCACTCTGATAGGGGAATGTCTGCTAAAAACACTCTGGGAATGAGTTACAGTTTGCAACTTATATAAAGATTAGGAGATGTTAAGAAGTCATGTATCACATGTGCCAGTGATCCACAGCTTTGTCTATTTTAATATTATTTTTTAGAGGCAAGAACAGCCATTTATTATTATTCTACAGGACTGTGTGTCTTTCCTAAGTCAATCACTGTTCATGGTTGAACACAAGGAGAGGTACATCTATCCCAAATCTGCCCTGTCTTACCTACTGGCTCACTTCAGAGTGCTGTTCTTCAGGCCAAGTGTTAAAATTATGTTTTGTGAGCTTGCTGAGAAGTTGAAAGATTTGAAATAAGAATGGATCACAGCTATTCTTTCCAGGCAATGCTTATTTCAGTAAACTAGAATCTTGTGCTTGAATTCACGTTGTTGTGACTGCTGAACCTCTTTCAGTATCTCCTGCATTTGTTTGCAGAGACTTCATTACTAATCTTTAATTTGACTCACAATGACCTGTTGGAAGTTTTGAATTCAGCTCTTCTGTCTTTGATTGGAGCTGACTTTTCCTTAGAAAACTCCTTTAGAGCTCTAAAGCTATAAAGACGGCTAAGGCTTTCCACTCTCTTTCAGGGTCCCCCTATACTGCCACCATCTCACATGTTCTCCATCTTTAGGTACCATCTGTAGTCTGATAAAAGGTGATGCTATAGCTTCCTTGCAGCATAATTAGGGTAACTGCCCGTGTTACATAAATGGATTGCTATTAGCTGAAAAAGGCAGTAAGTGATTTTTTGCTGCCAGTCAGAATTTAGCTTTTTCTTTCTTAACGCCTTTCAAAGTTGTCATGGTGACATCTATAGTCATCAGTCATGCTGGCAGTATTTATATCATTCACAATAGATATAAAATCAGTGGAGCATACTGTCATATGATAACAAGATAACGTGCTTGCGTCAAAGTTTCGGCAGAACACCACTCCCTGCGCTGCTATCTCGGTTCTCCTGCCCGTTCTGCGATAGGTGGCTACTGTACTGCTACTGATGCTGGGCAGACTGTTAATCTCTTAACAAGCAGCGCTAAATGACAGATCTCACCTTTTGTCAAGGTGACTGACTTAATAACATCTATACTTTCTGTCTGTTTTAGCATGCTATTACCCCTAATGACAATTTGCATTTCTTTCACTGCAAAAGATGATTGAAATCATATTTAGCAGAGCTGTTGATCTCACTACAGGTATTGTTTTCTCTTCAGTCTCTCATCATCCAGTTTCATCTTTACATCAGGAGTGTCACTTGGGCCACTGATGGACAAATTGTACTTGCTTTCTAATCCTGCATTGCGTAACAATTAATAACTTATCATATCTAACATTCAGCAGCAAGGAGGTGCTGGGCAAACATGCTTTTTCCACAGCAGAGCTACAGGAGGAAGGAGTGCTTTTGACCTCTCTTTAAATCACCATTTTGGTTGCAAGCGTGGCTTTCCTCTCCATCCCATCCTCAGTGGGACTGCAAGACGGCTTTCTTCCACTTTCTAGCCTTGTTTGACACAGCTCCTCCACAGAGAGGTGTAAGAAAGTGAACCTGCATGAGATAAACATGGTAATATCAGAGTTATTTTAAGAAATTGGTAAAGGTCCTGGAGAGGTGGGGGATGTGTTGCTTCGTTCTAGCCATGGTTTCTGGCTCTGCAACGCGCTCCTTGAAGTCTATTTAGAAGGGACAAACTCAGTGTCCCAGAACTCTCACACTCCACTTGTCCTATGAGAAAGAAGAAGCTCTCTGTTGTCTAACGATGCAAACTGGACCAAAATATATAAAAGGAATCAAAAAGATGAGTTCTCTTCTTAGTCCTTTCTACATTAGACTGGTGCCTGGACCCTTTTCCATGTGCAGGAATAAATGGCAGGAGAGGGGTATCCATTCCATTTTACGTTTATTATGAAAGTGATTTTAACAAAAGTTTTATTACATGCTTCATTTTGAGCTTTGACATAGAAAACAAAGCTAGTAATATACAGAGGCAAAAGGAAATGTATTTTCTTATAAGATACATTTACAACAACATTTTCTACTACGAATCTGACAGTATTGTTAAAATATTGGTAAAGCTCAGACCACTGTATTTTATTTTCTAAGTATCAAATTTTGTACAGTTATTCACTATCTTTGCTCTAAACTATCATGATACATTTCATATGGAAATCGCTGTTTGTACATAATTTACATAGGTCATAAAGCTTAGAAGTCCCAGCAGCATCTACAAGGGTTTAGTTCAAAATGTCACTCATGCCCAGTGATCTAAACATAGCAAATTAGTACAGAAACCAATAGTACACATCCAGGTATTTTTTCCCCAAAATCTAGTCTACCAGAAATTCTTATTTAACAAATGATGGACATAATCATAATGAACTTTACATAGGTGAAACTCTCACTGACCTCAGTGACAGTTTTGCCTAAAAAGGACTCTATGATCGGATCCAATATGTAGTTTGATCACTCCCACTGCTACCTAGGAGCACAGATGTTCCATACTTTTCCCTGTCTTTATACTATATTTGGGCATAGTATTTTGAATTCCCTTTTATTTCTGAATTTTATGGTGTTCCTTATCCTAACAATGTAATAAGAGCTAGCACAAACTTTAAAATACATATTCTTTATACGTTGTGAAAATGGTGAGCACTTCAGAATGACACTGGACAGTCAACTCTATGAAAATTAGCAGGTTAAACTGCCCCAGCAACCCTGTTCTATGATCCCAGTGAGACTGCAGCAATAACAGGAGCAGTAGTCTAGAAGGGTGAATCTCACAACTGACCACATGCATGCTCGTATCCTAAAGTAGATTTTTAATCATCATGTTGAGTATCTGCTGCTGTCAATGCAAATTAGCGGCCTTTCCAAGGTATAAAACATAGAAAACAATATTTACAAAATAATTTTAATTAAAAAAGTAACAAAAACAAACTCTAAAAAATACATTTTCACAATCATTAAAATAAAGTTTAATTAAGCAAAGCCACTTCTTTTCCTAGATATTGAGAAATTCAGCTAAAACTGAATTGCAATTGTTTGCATATGTTTAAACTTGTTATCTCCGCTTTCTGAATACAGATGGTTTAAATTATTACATCTAACGGTCCTTCTGTACATTTTACTCTTGTATATTACATATTCATTTTATAGATTAAAAACTTAGTGATGAAACAGAATAAATAAATGAAATAACAAACTGGAATTGTATATATTCAGATACTTAGATAACAGTTTTTTGCCATTAAGAGTTTATTTCCCAGTATGTTCCTATTCAGGTGGAAAATGTGATGATAAAACATGAAACTTCTTCTAAATCCAAGTCTGATACTGAGGAACAAGTTTACATGAACTTATAAAAATTGCCCTTCTTCCATGAATTCTTATGGGAGACAAAAGTTTTTTTTTTCCCCCAAGTGCTTACAACATTCTCTCATTCTAGAAAACTATTTCATTAACGTCTCAAAGTATTGAGAGTCTAGAGAACTTCTCCCGTTACTACCGTTCCTGTCAAACGGTGGCTTTAAACTATGAAAGAAATGCAACGCTGAAACCATGACATGGGTACAAGTAACTGGGTCTGTTGCTCATTCCCATAATGCGAAAAAGGGAAAATCCAGACCCCTGCGGTGTTTGAGAAATTTGCCACTGAATTCAGTTGGTTGAAGATTTTGCTCCAGCTTCTTTTTTTTTAAGAGCATTCAAAAGTATTTAGAGTCCAGACATCTGCACTGTTAAAGACCAGTCAGCAGTTCCTGCATAAGAATCATACCACTCCTTTTGCTCCTGAAGATTGTATTAAAAATTGTTATCTGCAAGATTAAAACAGTGCTCTTTAGAGATAAGACTGATCTGACACATTCAAGTCTGTTGGGCAGGCTCACAAAGGGGTGAGGGGTTGGCTTCGACTTTCCTATTTGAAAGTTTAACACCTGTGAGCTTGTTTCTTGTTTATGTGGCATCATCTGTTCTACTTACAGGACTGAGGACGACAGGTTAGCTGTGCTCTTTAGAAACCACCTGACAAATCAAAACACAGACTCCCTGAAAACTCTGTGACCAAGCCGGGGCTTATTTAAGCTAGTCTAAAACATAGTAAATCTACTGATGTCAGTACGCCTACCCTAATATAAAGCTGATGCATGGGCAGCATTGGTCTAAATGATTTTTTTTTCCCCCTCCTTCTTTGGTACAGTGTTGTTTTACATGTTACAACAAAGCCTTTTTTGTCTTTGTACCTTATTTGAAATTTTAGGTCTGAAAATCATTTTCAGATGAACCTTTTTCCAGCATGTTTGTCTCACCAAAGAGAAAAGAGACATTCACTTGCGGTACAAGTTAAACAAAATACACTGAGTGAAGAATTTCACAGACGAAGCAGAAGGCTCTCCCTTTTTCAGAGATTCAGCACAGGAACAGGGTGGTTTTCATAAAAGTTCAGAAATTCTTCCTGCTGCCATACTTCAATAACTAAAGCCTCCCCAAAGGTAATTAAAGCTTTTTGAATGTACACTGCGCACACGCTGGCTGCACATCAAAAATTGCTCCTAGGATTTTGTATGCTGTGATTTTCCATATTCCAAGAGATGGTTATATATAGAATGTCAATAAAACGTGACAGAACAGAAGAAAATTTTTTTGGTAGGGCAGCAGTTCCTATTATTGGAGACATACATCTGATGTGAAATCCAGATGCATATTTTGGCTCACTAAAGTTTGGGAAGTTCAGGCACACGGCTTTTGCTGTGCTCAGCTAAAAAGAATTGTACCAATTATCACCAAATTGCAGAGCCAGGTTTGAAGAGTAAACATGGGACTAGACCCAATCTTCAGTAACTACAGCACCGTGCGATTTAACTTTATTGTATGGGGCAGGCACAGTGAGGAAATACATTTTTCAGAAGTTGGTCTTTAGGTAAAAAGCTAATATATGACGGAAGGAGGGAGGCAGAAGGAAAAAAATGGGCTGAAAGAAACTTTATATCAAGTTTTAGTGAATTAAATCTTCAGGCAGCGTAAGTCTTGCTATTGTGGGCAAGACGCAGGTGGCAGTCTGGCCCACTGAATACAGAATCCTGATGCTTCCTGTACTCAAATCACGCACAGGCGCGCGCACACACACACACACACTCACTTACTTGGCCCACAGCAATCACTAACAAGCGCTGTCACAGGATGACTTAGGGCTTGGTTATTTAGCAATTTCTGATTGTTGCAACCTGCTGGATTGCAGCAGGCATGCAGGCTGCTATTGGTGGCCCATGAAAACGTTCAGATGGGTCACCACCATCTCGCTAAAAAATAAGTGCAGGAGGAGAGGCTTAAAATAATAAGTGCTACAGGTACAGCTTTTAAGTGTTTAGGCATTTGCAAACGGAAAACAAAAAGTTCAGTTTGTGATGTGGAATTAGGCAATCACAAATTAGGCTTCTTCAGCCTCCTGTAGTAGTAGCATGTGAACATGTTGTTGCACCTATTCCACATACACCTATTCCACATACAACATGTAATGCTGCCAGACCAAATACAGGGTTGTATTTATAGAGTAAGTTTAAATGCAGTATTTCATGTTTACAGTAAAGGCCAAAATTTTCTATTTGGCAATGTACTGATTGATTTCATGAAGCTGCTTTTCTTAGAGAAGGCCCTATTCTCCCTGCACAGGTTTTGATTCCCAAATTTGTCTAGGTTTTCTCCACAAAGATGACATTCCTTATTTTTGTACTTTTATTATAATAGTAAGCTTACGTTCGGAACCTCCTGACAATGAAAGCATCAGACACCTACACTAACAAATGAGAAGCTCAGCTCCATTCTATTTGGTGAATGCCGGTTTCTGTAACTACAAATATAGCGTGAAAAATCCTTACGTCCTTCTGAAAGTGATAAGATACTTTTGGATGGGATTCTTCAAAGCGTTTCTTTACTTCTAGTGCTGATGTAAAAATTACGGGGTTGTAAAAATCAGCGTACGTCAAGTGAAATCTGCTTAGTTTTCCATACCCCTTGTCGTTACTTATTTTATTAGAAATTTTCACATCCAGTGGCATTTCCATACAGAGCTGCCAACATTCAAAACCTGACTATTTTCTAAATATATCCCATAAGAAACCCCTATGTATTCAGAAGCATTTCACTATGTAATTATGAAGGCCAAATTATTCCCTTTCTTTCACTGCTCTCAGAGAAAGGGCATAATAACACAAATCCTGCTTTTGCTACAGGAGAAGTCATTGGGCACGTTGTCCTGCCTGCAGAGTCCCGGCCCTGATGCGGCTCCAGGGAATACAGGCTAACCCAAACCTCTCACCTTGCCTGTCAGGATGAATTAGGCAAAGCACCCGTTTTGTCTCGCATGGCCGTAAGTCAGGGTGAGCTGTCCAGCGCTAAATGCGGCTAGTCCTGTAGTAGTGGTGTGCAGCTGTGCCCGTGTCCCCCTAACCGTGGCTGCGGCCAGGACAGGTCCCTCCCACAGGCACTGTCTGGCCCTGAGATACCCCTCCTTGGCTGAGCACCTGAAGCAAGTTACAGTACTGCCAGTGGTTTCTGGACATGTACGGCAGCACCTCGCAGCTCTGTCCCAAAGAGGAAGTTTGTCCTACACGTCGCGACTATCTTACAGTGACATTATGGCCAAACTTGTGGGTTGCTAAGCAGAAATTTTAGCAGAGATTTTACTACAGCCACTGCTCAGCATCAGGCTCCAAACTTCTCTTACTGAAGAAAGATCATTGTTCATCCTTCAGGAAATGAGGAAGTTTTTTTTTTTTTTGTTAAATTTTGTGACTTCTGTTGAGAATTCTGAACAATTTCCCAATATCTGTCAGGCAGTAGGACGGCCGTAATCCCAACCAAATCATTCTGGATAACTTATCAGACTTTGAAGTACTAAGTTTGGTTGAAGTGTTTTTTTTAGCTATAGACTTATACATGACTGAGTACCTAAAAAGATTACTTACTGCTTTTTAAAGATTCATTTTTTCTACAAATAACTTCTGTCAAGAAAAAGAACACATGTAGCTATATTTTTTTCATTCCATGCATACGCTAAATCTAGGAGTGATGGCATGTTCTCCTTCAAATGTCCACCTTTAGTATCCCATAGTGAATACATAATAAAAGTAGTTTCAACATCCTTACAAGAAAATCAGGTTTATGGAGGGCAGATCTCACATAAAGATCGAGCTCCTGTCAAGCGTGCCGTCCTCAGGTACCTCCTGCCTGGGGTATGAGCGGGCCCAAGGAAGCAGCAGTAACTGACCCTTTACTGACCAAGATACTGCAGAGCAGTTGCATCTTAACTGATGTTATTCTTCCTGGAATAATGTATGCTGAAAGAGATTGTCCAAGAAAAAAAACATTATCCTGTACCATAAAACTCCAAAAGGCTTCAGTTTCATGTTCACAGAAGTGACAAGCACTTGGAGAAGTCATTTAATCATCTAAGCGAAGTTACAAATAGATATGAGTAAATAGTGTGTGTGGGAGTAAAGATTTAAGCATGATTAATATTTACAGTAACTAAAGATAACATTACTAATGTACCCACAAATAGAAGTATATATTTATATATTTATATATTGTACTTAATTAGATGCTCTATTAACGGAAAGAAAACCAGACTACTACTTGTTGCTGTTGTTGTTCACTGCTCATCTATCCTATTGTAAATGCCTTCAAAGGGACCAATTGGTGTATAAAACTCCATAGCTACACCAGTTTCCAGAAAATAATAGACAGTGGCAAACCTCTGAAGAAGTTTAGAAGAGGACAGATAAAACACAGGGCATGGGACTCAATCTTATGTAATTCATAAAACAAAATTATACATCTGTTTCTTTTTTTTCTCTCTTTTCTTCCCTTTTGGTTTCTACTTGGACAATGGTTCCACTAAACCACAAATGAGAAATAACAAAATTTAGATTGTTTTGTTTTCTTCTAAAGATTCAAATATAAAGTTCAAGTGCAATTCAAAATCCAAATATTATTTATACTACATACTTCTTTCTACAACAGAACTTATGTGCAGGTAGTTTGATCAGATTTGAATAGTTCCCTTCTATGCTTTGGAGAATTTTTTTTCATGGAAAGTAAAAAGCTAGAAAGAATATTTTCTACGAATTGTAATTTCAAATGGAAAGTGAAGACACACTAGTGCAGACACAAATTTGGATCTTTAACTGGATGCACTCAAGGATCCACAATTATTTTTCTTTGTAGTAAAAATCCCATTCAGAACATTGGCTTTTAACAGTTATAAAACATTATAGGTATTCTTCAATATACAATTGAAAATCAAGACGGCAAAAAAGAGCCTCCCAATTAGCAAATGTTTCTACTATGGAGGAAATACAATATTTGACAAAGAATGCAAAGTAACCCCAAATTGAATACCACTAGACTATTTGTATGGTCGTAGAAATCTGGACACTTTTGATCGCAGTAGCTTTATAAATGATCTCGGAAACATCTCTTTCGACTCCTGTGCTGTGTACTTGAAATAGTTTTGTGGGTGTGCCAGGACATCGAAGAGAGCTTTGATCAGTTTCTTGTCCTAGGGGAGACAACACACACGTTAGACACGAGCAGTGCGTGCATCTAGTTTCTGCGCGGCTTTCAAAATCAGAGAGAGAACTGTTTTTCAGAATGCCATCCCAGGTGAAGCAGCGTA